AGCTGCTCGTCTACCACCCACCGCAATGCAAACCATACAGGCAAAGCTAGCGCAGCCCACACCAGCACTAACAAGAGCAAGAGTTTGCCAGCATGCACATGCCATCACATATACAGCATACCATGGGTCATGGTTCTACTCTGCAGGGGCTGCCAACAGAGCATTCCCAATGCTGGGCTCGGTATCAGGGCAACAGTGGGGAGATGTGGTTCTCAACTTTGTGATGGCTGAATGCATCAACGCAGCGGTTGCACAGCTCACGGCCGAAAAACACCCTCTGGAGGTTCCCACGGCAGGAGAGAGATCGCTCACAGCCACGCTCGCAGCAGGCAGCGACAAAGCTGCCCAGGCCATCGACACTTGCTCATTTGATTCCTCGGCAGGGCCCTTAGGGGGCCACATGCGAACCCTACCCCTACCCACCACGATTTCTGAGGGAAGGGGTGGAGTTCACTTCGCTCGGGAGCTCCCGAACGAAGTGGACCCCACCCTCCCCCTCAGAAGTCGTGGGGGGTAGGGGTAGGGTTCGAATGCGGCCCCCTAGCCCTGCAGCTTTTGAGCATCGTCTCAGCTGTGAGTGGCACTGCAGTCACGGCCTGCACGGAGAGTGGGCTCCAGCTCAACACGAAGAGAGACAAGTCAGAATGCGTCAAGGGCTCCCAACTTCGTGCTTCGCGCTGCGCGAAGCGCGAATAAGTTCGCGCTATCGCGCCGCCCCCCCCCCCACCCCCACCCCAAAGGGAGAAAAGGAGGTCGAGGAGGAGGGGGAGAAGGAACGAAAACCGCGAAGCGCGAAGCGCGAATGACTTCGCGCCCTCGTGGGAGCCCTTGATGCGTTGTCCAATTCAGAGGTCCCACCAAAGCAAGAGCACGACTTCGGAAGGAAATGGGGGGACCCATAGGCGCCGACACACAAGTACTAGGTCACACGCAGCTGCGCGCAGTCCGCCAGTACCCCCACCTCGGCACTATCCTGGACGAAAGAGCCTCCTTGGGCCCTGAGCTGGCACACCGACACCGTGCACGCGCAGCATCATTGCACCAGCCAAGGCGCAACGCTTTTCCTTCCATGGGAGGGCATGCACCAGACGTTAAAATCAAGATGCAGCTCACTGACTCGCTCATCACGTCCTCGGAGCTGTTTGATGCTGGCACCTGGCATGGCATGACGGAGGCGCAAGAGCGCTCCCTGTGCAGCAGTGTTCTCGCCAAGTACCGCTCTGCAGCAAGCATGTCCGAACATGATTGCAATGCATTTAGTGACGCATTGGTTCTTGCAGCAGCTCGACGAGCAGATGTCCAGACACAGCTCAGGGTACACAGGTTACGTGTCTTCGGGAGGCTCCTCCAGGTGCCCGAGGTGCCCAAAGGCCTAGTGGCCATGGCATACCACTCCTCCCCCACCTCCTGGCTAAGAGAGGTCTTCAATGACCCAGGCTGGCTAAAACACGTCATCGAGGAGCCAGAAGAGCTCCCCGATCCCAACATCGAACCAGGTCCCCGGGAAACCCTCATCTCCAGGTCGTTGCAGTCATGGAGGCAACTACTCCGGCGTGCGCAGGCCAACCATGTTTCTGCCTCTAGGCGCCCCTCTATTGCAGCAGCAGCAGCAGCAGCAGCAGAAGCAGAAGCAGATTTGTTCGACAGCGTCAGACCACGCGGAGTGCCATTGCCCATCACACACCCAGAGCATCCATTGAGACATTGAGACAAGCGGAACAAGAGGACAGGAGCAGCTTGGAGTGCCCATGGTGCCACAAGAGATTCCTCAAGAGACCAGCGATGCAGCAACACATTGTTCAGCAGCACCACGCATGTGTAAGACACGTTGAGCTTGTCATGAGCCTGTCTTCCACATGCAGAGCCTGTGCCACTTCTTTCCCCCAGAGAAGGCAAGTCAGAGACCATCTGGCATTTGACTCGGCGAGGTGCTGCTTAGCTTACTTTCTGCATGGAGCGGAGGCTCCAGCTACCATAGCAAGGGCATGGGCCCAAGAAGATGCAGCAGAGATGCTTGCTCAGAGGAGAGCAGGTCTAGGACGTTGGAGATCAGCCTTCCCAGCCCCCACGCATGTTCCTCCTGAAGGCCTCATCTGGGACTCCAAGTGGGCTCCTGTGTCGCTATCTGAAGAAGAAGCTAGGGAAGTACTCAGGGATTTCCTCTACGAGCTCACCGACGAGGCCAGAAAGATCATACATCAAGATGCCCCTGCAGCCACCAACAGCGCCTCAGGAGATCCAGAAACCAGAGTAGGTGACAACATGTACCAGGACAGATACTACATTTACCGACCCCAAGACTTCCAAGACACAGCAATGGAAGCTATACCAGTGCGTATTCACAGAGCGGAGATTTTTATCCTACACCATTTTTATGGCATGAGACGGTCAGGTGACGTACAGTCCCGCATCGAGGCCGAAGCCATCATGCCAGGATGCCAGATCGCATTGCTCTCGGTCAACATAGCCATACACACGTTGAAGGGGAATCTTACCAGGAGGCAAACCATAAACGAGTGGAGGGGGCATATCAGAGCGCACAGAGTCTGGAACACAGGGGGGGGCCATGTGAAACATGGTGTGCAGCGCGTTGGCTGGAAGGGCCCCACCCCGAACTACGCACGAACGAATACATGTGGGGGGTACCGTGGGCCACGACAACACAACAAGAACAATTGGAGACGGGCAACTAACTGTTATTTGCGCTTGTGCAGTTGCTAGGAGACCACCTCGCTGCAGGAACGAGCGGATGCATGGAGCATCCACAGCCGGCAGTATATGGAGACAGCATGCTCCCATATCCTTCATGTAGGGACCACTCAGAGCATTGTCTTCCTCCCCCATCTCGTCTACCACGGACTTTGACCAGTACGTATTTCAGGACCTCCCTGCAGCAGAAGTAGGACGTGCGCCGACACGGATAGTTGCCATACGTCTGCCCTCAGTATATACACATCGCTGCTCAAGGGAATGGAGGGAGATGTCACCATGGCAGACAAATACACATGACACTTGTGGGCAAGACTCCCGACCGTCGCTGTTTCAAAACAAATACCAAGAAGACGTACCCAACCCGTCTGGCCGCCGCCCTTGCTAGATCGATTTCAGACTAATTGCGGAACATTGCTGACAGTAGCCCACCAACGTTGTGTGATCCAGAGGAAGTTACACGCGGCCTCAGGAAAAGGTATGCCCAGCGGGACCCAGATGTGGAGTTTGTTCGCGCGCCCGACTTTGTGAGAAACCCAAAGAGGAGGGATAGAGGAGACCCCGAAGTGAGCAGATGGCCATGCTTGCAGTCCCCCTCTCCTCCTCCGTCGTCGCCTGTTTCTCCCGCTGCTGCCGCCATCGCCCCCACTTCCCCAGCGAGTGCCCGCTTCCCGGCCCAGAAGAGGGCGTCGAGGAGGCAGGCTGGGACGCCGAGGAGGCGGCAGCCCAAGACGTGCTCGAGCCCTTCGAGCCCGAGGAGGCCGGGGAGGGCCCTGCTTTTCTTCCTCTGTCCTTCTTCCCCCTCCACCACCACCACCAGTGCTCTCAGACGAGCAAGAGACTCGGAATCAGAGGAATCGCGAAGCAGCCAGAGCATTGCGACATAAGCGCCGTGCCCCATGGTCCTTCACCACCATCTTATGGCCTGAACGTTAGAATTCAACTTGTATGCTTGCACCCAGGACATACGTTTCTCCTGATTGCATTTTCCCGCAGGTATGCAGAGTTGGGACTCTCATTGACTGCCATGCCACCGTTGCACCACCACCACCTCCTCCTCCCTCCTCCTCCTCCTCCTCCTCCTCCGCCTCCTCCTCCTCCTCCTCCTCCTCCTCCTCCTCCTCCGCCTCCTGCTCCTGCTCCTGCTCCTGCTCCTGCTGCTGTTCTCCACGTGCTCGTTTCGGCACGCCCCTCCGGCTCATGGCCCCATAGGGAGCTCCACCGAAGGCGCCAATGGCAAGAATCCCATGGGGCCGCCACTTCGTTTCGGCACGACCCTCACACGTTCCGTGGACCGATAGAGAGCTCCACCGAAGGCCCAGTGGCAGAAGTCGCATGGCGGCAGCCCGTTCGGTACGGCACGCCCCTCACACGCTTCGTGGCTCCACAAGGAGCTCCACCAGAAACCCCAGTGGCAAGAGTCGTATGGCGGCCGCCCCTTCGTTTCGGCACGACCCATCACACGCTTCGAGGCCTCATGAAGAGCTCCACCGAGAGCCGCAGTGGCAGGAGTCGCATGGGGGCCGCCACGTCGTTTCGGCACACCTTTTACGGTTCGTGGACCCATAGGGAGCTCCACCAGAGGCCCCAGTGGCAGGAGTCGCATGGCGACCACCCCTTCGCTTCGGCACGCCCATCACACAGTTTGTGGTCCCATAAGGAGCTCCACCGACGGCCCCAGTGGCAAGAGTCGCATGGCGGCCGCCCCTTCGCTTCGGCACGACCCATCACACGCTTCGTGGCCCCATGGCCCCAGCGGCAGGAGTCGTACGGCGGCCGCCCCCCTCGTTTCGGCACACCCCTCACACGGTTCGTGGCCCCGTAGGGAGATCCACCCTAGGCCCTAATGGTAGGAAACGCATGACGGCCGCCTCCTCGTTTCGGCACCCTCACCCGCGTCGTGACCGCATGGAGAGTTATCCCTCCTCCATCCCACTTGCCTTGCGGCACTCATACTTGCATATGGCTGGGTCCTTCACCAGGATAACTGCTGTTGTCCTTTTCCCCCTCATCCTTCCCCAGGTAATCGCTGCGATCGAGATCTGATCTAAACCAGGCGTGCTGCTCCCCGCGATCGGTCAAAGAGTGAAGGTATGTGTGTGTTAGGTTTGGTTGCGATGGCTGATGCGAACCTCCCTCGATCACCCTCACCCTATGAAGAGATGTCAAACCATGGAACCAACCGATAATCTTATAAAACGAAGATTCCGATTCATTACATAAACGGCGATGGAAAAGAAAACACGACCCACGATTCAAGGCCTACACCGAGCTGTGTCTAAGGCTTGCACTTTAATTACCGCCTCGCACACCTCCAGAGCAAAATCCAGCTCCGTGCCAGTGAAAGACTCAGGTGAATACTCAAATCGTACGTTGGACCCTGTCGGTATCAGCTCCTCGTCGGACAGCTTCTTAATGAGCGAAGCGCCTTCCACAGCTAAGGCTTGTATCCCCTCGCGAGGCTTATCGAACACAACCCTCCGCTGCAGCTCGCTGGTGGAGTTGTATATGTGCAGGATAATGTTCTTCGCTCCCTTGACAGCCTCAATCGTTTTCTTGATTAGTACATCGCGGCATTGTGTCAGTACCTGAATATGAACGTCGTCAGGGATAAGCTGGTTGTCCACGATGTACCTGCAGAAATCGAAGTCAGTCTGGCTGGCTGCTGGAAAGCCGACTTCAATCTCTTTGTAACCCATTGCGCACAGATGGGTGAAGAAGCGGAGCTTTTTGTCATGATCCATGGGATTGATGAGCGACTGGTTGCCATCGCGCATGTCGACGGAACACCAACGAGGCGCCTGGGTGATTCTTTTGGAAGGCCACGCACGCTGCTTCCACTTGTCATCGAACGGTATTTCATACCACTCTTGGTAATTCCTGTATCTCTGGTATGGCATTTTCGAGGGGGCGTTCGCATGCTTCGTCGTCCTCTTGGGCGGCTCAAAGCCTGCCATAGCCGCACCACCTGCTCCTCGGAGGGCTGGCCACTTCACGACCACTCTGAGCCAACACCGCTTCGGGCCCGCGCCCGGGCGAGGGCGAGTGAGACGGCACAGGCCAGGAAGGGTAAGGACCGAGCAGGAAGACGACGGCAGCAAGGAGCAGAGAGCACAGCGTTCGAGAGGACGCAGGCACGCGGGAGAGGAGGGAACACCGGAGAGAGCGGAGGACGGCGAGAGGCGGACGGGCACGATCCCGCAGGCAGCTCCTGCGCCGAGAAACTCCGACCTGTGCTCTGCGGATCCTCTGGCCTAGGTTTGTGCCTGGTATACGCTACGGACCCCGATGGGCCGTAGCGCAACATGGACCGGCGAAGGTGAGGCGGTGCCGCTTGTCTTCAGGTCGATTCCCTGACACCCGCCGATCTGAAATATTCAATCTGCGGTCCCAAAGGCCCAAACCGCTTCCCCCAGGGCAGTGCTTCGCCCTGGGCCCGGTTTTCCTGGCCACGGGGCGCGAGGAGGACTCCAACGAGGCAAAATCGAAAAAAACATCCAGGTTGAAAAACATGTCGTCTGAGATCTGCGTTGCCGCCACCGGATCCAAGCCACTTCGATCGCCTGCGGCGCGAAGAGCTTACGAGACGGAAAGTTATCCATATACACCGCCTGAGGGAACTGGCGTCCTCGGGCCCTAGGGGGCACTGGATATGGATGCGCGCGCGCACGCACGCACGCACGCACGCACGCACGCACGCACACACACAGACACACATATATATATATATATATATATATATATACATATATATATATAGGAAATATATATATATATATATATATAATATATATATATATATATATTATATATCTCTCTCTCTCTCTCTCTCTCTCTTTCTCTCTCTCTCTCTCTCTCTCTCTCTCTTTCTCTCTCTCATATCTGTATATATACGAACACAGACATATCCGCCGATCCGGCGTGTGAGTTTCAAAGACCCTCAGATATAGCCTGAGCCTCAGCTCATGAGCTTTAGCTTTGGTGGGAGGGGGGCCGAGGGGCTCTGCCGGGGTGGGGGGGGGCCGAATCAATTTTGGTTGCAAAATCGGAGGTCCAGCTCACCCCGGGTCGGCCCCTCGCCCCAGAGAGCTCGAACGCGGGCCCATGAAAAACCCACCGGCCGGCCAGACGGCCCAAGAGGGCCCTGAGTGGCCCAAACATCGTTCCAAGACACTCAATATGTTCCTCAGACGGCTTCAGAAACCTCCAACGCACCCTTCCGACACCTCCGACGAGTGCCCAAAAACGAGAATCTGTCCCATTCCCAGGAAACGTGCATTTTTTGCATCGTCGTTTCTTCGGCCTTCGCGGTGCCCCTGCAACACTAGAGAATCGACTCTACCGCCCCCGGGATCATCGGCCCCTCGCTTCGCAATGCAATTTGCATATGGTTATGCCCCATCGCCCGCCCCCAAATATGAATCCGCACCATCCCAGGGGACCCGGCATTCGCCCGCCCCCGCTGTCCCCCCCCCCCAGAAAAAAACTACGCGCGCACTCGTTTATCCAAAATCTTCGATGTTCAAGAATCTTGTGCAAAAGCAAATGGCGAAGTGCACGCGCGCGCGTTGTCGCGCGCGCATGCCGAAATCAATCGCGGCCCTTCGGTCTCGAAAGACATGCAGAATCGACTGCCACAAAATATTTACAACATATGGCTTCCCAACACGGACTTCAAAAAAATCAACCAGAAAGAACAACTACCCCGCAAACAAGAAAAATGCGCGCACTCTTGCTAATGCTTAAGAAGAAACTATCACAGTGCGACCCGACCTAGGAGTTGGAGCATTCAGGAAAGCAACATCTACATCTAAACCGACAGCTACATTTACATCTACACCTGCATCTACATCTACATCAACATGAACAGCGAGACTCTTATCTACATATACATCTAAGCTACGCTATGCTATGTTATGCTGCGCATTGCTATATTAGGAGATGATAGGGTATGCTGGGCTGCGCTATGTTATGATAGGCTATGATATGCTAATATATGCTGGGCGATGCTATGCTATGCTATGCTATGCTATGCGATGCTGCGCTATGCTAGGATAGGCTGAGATATGCTGCGTTATGCTATGTTATGATAGGTTATGGTATGATATGGTATGCGGCGTTTTGTTCTGATATGCTATGTTGTGCTATGCTATGATATGCTATGCGATGACGCGATGTGATCTGCTATGATACGTTATGATATGTTGCGCGTTGCTCTGCTATGCTGTGCGATGCTTTGCTGCGCTATGTTATGCTATTATATGCTGCGCTATGCTATGCTATGCTATGCTATGTTATGCTATGCTATGATGTGATGTGCTATGATGCGCTGTGCTGTGCTAAGCTAAGCTACGATATGATATGCACTGCTAAGCTGCGCCATGCGATGCTATGATATGCAATGCTATGCTACGCTGCGCTATGTTATGCTGCGCGATGCTATGATATGATATGTTATGATACGCTATGCTATGCTATGCGATGCTTGGCTATGCGATGCTATGCAATGCTGTGCTAATGTTGCGCTGCGCTATGCTGCGCTGCGCTAAGCTAAGGTAAGCTAAGCTATGCTGAGCTAAGCTCAGCTAAGCTAAGCTAGGCTAGGCTAAGCTTAGCTTAGCTGAGCTGAGGAGACACGCTAAGCTAAGCTAAGCTAAGCTAAGCTAAGCTAAGCTAAGCTAAGCTAAGCTAAGCTAAGCTAAGCTAAGCTAAGCTAAGCTAAGCTAGGCTAGGCTAGGCTAGGCTAGGCGAGGCAAAGCTAACCTAAGCTAAGCTAAGCTAAGCTGAGTTAAGCTAAGAGGAGACCAGCTAAGCTAAGCTAAGCTTAGCTAAGCTAGGTGAACCCAGGGGGCGCAATTGGAGGAGCCGCGGGGCGGATGCCAGGGGAACCGCCCGGGGCGGTTCCCACTGCCCAGCCCTTTAAGCTCACCGAGTAAAAACCCTTCTAGGCAGAGCCTAGGCAGGGAACAAAAGTGTCTCAACTGCTTCAGAACATGCTAATAAAAGGCTTCGCGCCCGCGTTGAAATCGCTCGAAGCCCTCGCGCGCGCCGCCGCGAGAATCTTTCGCGCAGAAACGATATAGACCGCGCGCGCGTCGTCGCGCGCGCATGCCGAAATAATCGAATCTGTAAGCAGAGTGTCTATAAGACAACTAAGAACACCTGGTTTCGCAACGTCAGTTATCAAAAAACGCGCGCTCGCGCTCTTGCGAATTCTCGCGAAAACAAGACAAATTTCGCAACGTCCATTGAATTATACCAACCAGGCCTCAGGCACCGCATGCCGCCATCCTTCGCTCGCCATTGCGCGCGTGCTGGGGGGGGCACGATCCGCGTCGAATAACATGGGCCACGCTCGCGCGTCGGCCGCGCGCACATGTCGAACTCCTTCCACAACCCTCATCACCGACGCGAGGGCGCCGCCGTCGTCGTCGGCGCGATCAGCACCGGCCCCGGCACTGGCCCCGCCGTCGTCGTCATCATTATCGCCACCAGCACCGCTGCGATCATCCTCGCGTCTACCGCTGTCGACGTTGCCGCGATACCGCGCCCGCCCAAGCCGCCGACTCGCATTGCAATGCCCGGTGGGATGCGCCCGGCGGCCAGCGCCGCCGCGGCCGCGTCGGTCGCGCCAAACTAGCTGGCCGCTGCGCGCGCATGGGCTGGCGCGGCCGCGGAGACGCACCAGCCAACGCCAAGCACCCATCGCAATCGCCACCGCGTAGGTTTTGCAAACGAAGTTGCGGGCGGGTGGGCGGGGCGTTTGCAAGGGCATGGAATGTGCCAACTCGCACGTAAAAACCAATTTCACCATATAGGTTGCATCAGCTAGCTAGTTTGGGCCGCATACGCCGGTCAACATAGAGCGCGCAACAACTACCCCCCCCCCCCCCCAACAAAAAAAAATCCACCTCCCACTTCGCGCTGCAATTTACATATGATTCTGCCCCAAGGCCTATCCTATATTGAACGTTATTGAACGTGCGCCATCCCAGGGGGGGGGGAGGCAAGCGACGCCGCCCCCCCGCCCCCCCGCCGCCCTCTGCAGAAAAAATAGGCGCACGCACTCGTTGAACAAACATCATCACTTGCCAAAAGTCCCTTGCACAAAAACGGGACGAAGTGCACGCGCGCGCGCTGTCGCGCACGCGTGCCAGAGTCAGCCGCAAAAACTCGGCTCGGTGAAGATGTCAAACTCAACTGTCAACAAAAATATTAAAAAGGACATTGCTTCGCAACGCTGACGTTCAAAAACAGCTCGCGCGCGCGCTGGCGAATGCTTGTTTCCTGTAGAAAGAACATGTTACCAAACTAACTTCGCGCGCGCACGTCGAAATCGCTCGAACACCCTTGCGCGCGCGCCGTCGCGAGAATCCTCTGCAGCAAGCGCGACGAAGTGCACGCGCGCGCCGACGCGCGCGCCTGCCGAAATCCATCAAAAACTTCAGGTTCCGCAGCGATGTCAAAACGAGCAGCCAAAAAAACATAGAATTGGCCAGGCGAAGGACCCAGCCATATGCCGCCGCGGGCGCCGCGAGGGAGACGAGACGAGGGAGGGGGGGGAGGGGGCGGGGGGGGGGGGGGGGCGCGCGCGAGCACCAAGCTGCGCGCGCGGCATAACCTTCCGCCACGACACGCAAAGGGCGCGCCGACATGAGCGGGGGGGGGGCCTGCGAACGTCGCCATTGGAGCATTCCGCGCAGCCCCCTGCGGAGACCGAAACACGCGAGAAGCGTGCCGCAATGAGGCGGCGGCGCCAGGCGAACTTCCCCTCCGGGGCCTTCGGTGGAGCTCTCTATGGGGCCGTGAACTGCGCGAGGTGCGCGCCGACATGAAGCGGCGGCGCCGCGCGGACCCTGAGGCGCGCAGACGCCCCCGCCGGGGCCTGTGGTCAAGCTCC